TTGTTTAAAATAAAAAAAACATGTTTTTTGCCAACCCTGGAATATCATAACTTTACCTTGAGATACTCCATAATTTCTTCAAAACTATCGCAACATAATAATTGATCTTGATGGTCTTCTAATAATGCGACCGATACACGGAAGAGGACTTCAGAGCTTTCCAGAAACAGCAAATCTAAAAAAGTAAAATCAATTATATCACATCTTTATAAACCGAATATATATTATTGTGTGTGTGTGTGTTAAATGCAAGAATGTATCTTACCAAAAACTCTGGTTACAAAACCTAAAGGAAATTGGCTGGAAAACAGCGTCAATAACCACGGAGCGGCATATAAAGTAGGTGAAACTTCATGTTTGTCGAAATGATTGTAAATATCTGGCAAGCGATCGTGTAACAGCCTAGAGAGTTGATATAAGTGTAATTGCAATGCTGCCATATCTGGCAAGTACAATTTTCTCAGTCCTCGGCGAAACATTAGATGTCGTAATAAGAAAAAGGCTTGATCCTCCGCCATCTAAGAAAATTAAGAAATAATATTTTATATAAAAAACTGATTATTGTAGAACAGAATGCAAAATTCTAAAATTATTGAATAAATTCTTAGATAAATTATTGGAGAGTAATGTAAAACTTAAAATTACACTCACATGCAATAGAAGTACTCCAGCGACAAAACTGAGGCCCTGACAATAACCGACTTCGTGATCTAGCAAGGAGTAGGCCTTCAATAAATTGAAAAGTGCTAATTGACCAGGTCCCAAGGGTGAACTAAAATACGGGTGACTTGGAAAAGTTCTTCCCAAATCGATAAGGATAGCATGCTGTTGAGATGTGAGTTGTTTCAGGAGAAGTTCATAGGGTGTGTTATAATTTGGAAACTCTTGAGTGTCTATAGGCGGTTGCTTCAAGCAGAACTGTTCAGCTAGAAACTGCCAAACCTCACCTCTCTTTCCCTTCGGTACACCTATATTCAAAAGAATTTATTTTATATATAAAGAGATTAAACGAAATATCAAATTTTAGAAATATACATAATGCTTGATTGAGATGTATTTTAATTTCTCGTTACCTTGCTTAATAGCGTGTAAAAGCATTTGATTATCACATTTAGTAGAGACTCGCGATTCTTTGCTAACAAGAAGATCCCAAACTTCCATTACTTCACGCGCACAGCTACTAAGCTCGTCGTATTCGAGTTTGATCCTTTTTACCGTTGCCTCCTCTTGACGTTCTGACATTTTATTAGGAAATTTAGACAACATGAATACATATAAAATATAAAAAAAATTAAACATATTTTCAGATACAGGAGTGTTGCGTTCTCTAAGCTTACCTCGAAGCTTTGCGTTCTCTTTTTCCATTCTTATAAGTATTAGCTGTTGATTGATCGCTTTCTTCCACAAATCTCGCAATTCTTGTTTCGATCTACGTTTAACGGATATTTCCGGATTTTTGAGAATATTGATTTTTTCAATTTCTGTAGCGTTATGATCTTTATTCGGCGTCACAACTCTGTTTAGTATCGTTTGCCGCCACGAACTATTAGGTTGTATCGTGTTATTTCCATCAATCTCCGTGGGGGACGTTTTTGGTGAATTACCAACTTTTAAAAAGCTGTGAGAAATATAACAAACGAGTAAAAAATAAATATAAAAATATTAACAAAAAATTCCAATAAAATTATACTAACATGTCCATCATGGAACTCTTTGGTCCGTTATTTACAACTATTTGCTGTTCAGGCGAAACACGCAATGATCTTGGTCTACTGGAGTCCGGCGAAATGTCCAATATAGACGACTGTCGCGAATTATCTGGACT